TGCCTGTAATCCCAGCATTTTGGGAGGCAAGGGCAGGTGGATCAACTGAGGTCAGGAGTTTGAGACCAGCCTGACCAATATGGTGAAACCCTGGCTCTACTAAAAATACAAAAATTAGCCAGGAGTGGTGGTGCCTGCCTGTAATCCCAGCTACTCAGAAGGCTGAGGCAGGACAATCATTTGAACCCGGGAGGCGGAGGTTGCAGTGAGCCGAGATTGTGCCATTGTACTCCAGCCTGGGTGACAGAGTGAGCCTCTAGAAAAAAAAAAAAAAGAGAGAATGGGCATTCCCAACTGAGTGAACAATACAGTTGGCCATAAGTATCCGGGTTCCACATCTGTGGATTCAACTGCAGATCAGACATATTTGAGGGGGAAAATGCCTCAAAATTCCAAGGAACAAAACCTGAATTTGGCATGCATCAAATACTATGTTGAATCTATGCAAATGAAGTTATGTGTAGGCATATTAGGTATTATAAGTAATCTAGAGATAATTTAAAGTTTCAGGAAGATAATATGTCATTTTATATAAGGGACGTGAGCATCATGAATTTGGTATCCATGGAGGTCTTGAAACCAATCCTCCATGGACACCGAGGGACAAGCTCTATAAAGGGAGTCAGAGGAGAGAGACTGCACCGTGGGTTCAGACAGAATAATCTGATATGGGTGCGCAGGCAAATGAGAGTGAAGAAAGGGAAATAAGTCTGGGTCTAAGTTGTAAAGGGTGGTAGTTGCAGATTCTGATAAGAGTGTGGACTAAGTTCCAATTAACAATTAAATGGGAACATTTAAATTGTTAAATGTGTAAATTCTGGCCAGGCACGGTGGCTCACGCCTGTAATCCCAGCCCTTTGGGAGGCCAAGGCGGTCGGATCACCTGAGGTCAGGAGTTCAAGACTAACCTGGCCAACATGGTGAAACCCCATCTCTACTAAAACAAAAAATTAGCAGGGCGTGGTGGCGTAAACCTGTAGTACCAGCTACACAGGAGGCTGAGGCAGGAGAATTGCTTGAACCTGGGAGGCAGAGGTTGCAATGAGCTGAGATTGCGCCGCTGCACTCCAGCCTGGGTGACAGAGTGAGACTCCATCTCAAAAAAAAAAAAAAAAAAAGTATAAGTTCTGATTTATTAGATGAGAAGTACTGATAAAACACTTAGAGAAATGTTAATTGTTCAGTAGATCAATAAGATTAATAAACTAAACATTAAACTTTAGATAAAACAAAACTCCTCAACTGATATGGATAAACTAGTACCCCTGGAGCCCTTTCAAAGTAAGAAACAGAAAATGACATATGGGAGGCTGGGTGTGTTGGCTCCCACCTATAATCCCAGCATTTTGGGAGGCCGAGGTGGGTGGATCACCTGAGGCCAGGAGTTCAAGACCAGTCTGGCCAACATGGTGAAACCCTGTCTCTACTAAAAATACAAAAATGAGCTGAGTGTGGTGGTACATGCCTGTAATCCCAATTACTCAGGAGAATGAGGCATGAGAATTAGTTGAACCTGAGAGGTGGAGGTTGCAGTTGAGCCAAGATTGTGCCACTGCGTTCCAGCCTGGAATGAGATTCTGTCTCAAAAAAGAAAGTAACACATGGGAAAAAGAACACCTAGACCAGATTTACGTCAGAAAGATTTTGTCATAGAGATTAAATAGTAGGTTTGTGTGATCTCTTGACTTAATGGATAAACTAGGTTTAACTATTATTGAGAACTGTTGATATATAGTTAGTAATAGCTTTGTGGCTAAGATAAAATCAGAAAATGACCAAAATGGTAGCTTTCTAAATGTTCATGTTAGTGATAATCTGAAATCCTCTACCTTTGTACCTTCAGATCTTCAGATTCTTTTTTTCTTTTTTTTTGAGACAGAGTCTCACTCTGTCGCCCAGGCTGGAGTGCAATGGCACGATCTCAGCTTGCTGCAACCTCCACCTCATAGGTTCAAGCAATTCTTCTGCCTCAGCCTCCTGAGTAGCTGGGATTACAGGCGCGTGCCACCACACCTGGCTAATTTTTGTGTTTTTAGTAGAGACGGGGTATCACCACATTGGTCAGGCTGGTCTTGAACTCCTGACCTTGTGATCTGCCTGCCACGGCCTCCCAAAGTGCTGGGATTACAGGCGTGAACCACTGCGCCCAACCTCAGATTCTCTTAATAAGCATAGTTCTAGTATCACAAAATGTTTATGTCACATGAAGGCATTTCACTACTCATACAATGTGAACATAAGCATGAAACATGTCTTCCTAATCAATTTATAGGTTCTCCAACTCGGCACACAGAGCAAGACTCTGTCTCGGTGGGAAAAAAAGGTGCCACTTTGTCAGGAGAAGCACCAACAGACCTCTAAAGAATTGCTCTCTAGGCTTGGCAAGTTAGCAAATTTAATTTAACTATGCAGGTGCCCTTATTTGGTAGAGGGCTATGAAGAGCTAAACTGTATATGCAACACTTGTAAATAAAAAGGGATTTTATAATCCAAGATTTTCCTGGAAGATTTGTAGAAATAATGTCTTATTCTTGGTAACCTTTCCCTTTTGTATTTATAACTTCCTACTAACCAAATTACTATATCAATAACCATTATATAATATTTAATAAAACACCTATAGTTTTATCAAGCCTTACTCTGAATTGAAGAGATATACAAATAAAGAATTTTAATTAACTTTGGCTGGAAAAGCAAGGTTAATCCTTATCAAGGAGGAGGACCAGGAGAACTTTAACCTAC